AGTCTCACTCTGGTGAAACCTGTGAACTCTTGTGAAGCTGGAGCAAGGTCGTCAAGCCATCATGGTAAAACCTGTCAACTCGAGGCTGTCTAGATAGGTCGACACGTCGATGGGAAGTAGCAAAAGTGCAAAATGCCCCCTCCCTCCCCTCCCGTCGCCGAACTGCGCCCTGCATATAATAAGAACTGCATTCAATTAAGGGCCAACAAGGGTAAGATGACGGCTGGGAAGAAACAAGGTTGAAACCAAAGTAGGAGACGAGAAAGATGAATTGAAGAAATTACTGCTCAAGAGCTGGTCAAGTAAAGTTGCAGTTCACGCAGTGACACCAGGAGAAATTGAATAAGTAATAGATAAAGTACAGGAATAAAAAACGCCTTAAAAACATTCAAATTCAGAATGTGTGTGTTCGAAACTCACCAACTGAACCTGGTTTATAAATAGCTTTGTCGGTTTGTACAAATATCGAAAGACTCTTTTGGTTGTATTGAACGGATTTTTCCTCTTCAAATAACACATTCGAACTAAGAGTTTCTCCTCGTACATACACCTGAAAAAAACACTGGATTCTATTTTTGAGATCAGCCGCAAAATTAAAACTTTTTTAAACTGTTCTTTTAGCTGTAAGTTGTAGGACACATTTTTGACGGTATGACAGGCTTGTCCAAAATGCATTTTAAACAATTTTTTCAGGTCTTAAGTTTACCGTGAGAAAATATTTTTGACACTGGAAAATTTTTTCGTGTTAGTAAGGAATCCAAGTAAGCATATCGTTGCTTTAATACAACAAGGTCGTATTTATCGTGAGGAAGGAGTCGTCTTGACCTCGTAAAAATTTCTTCGATAGTTATTATAAATTTTGCCCTTTTTTCGGGCCTGCTAAACAGGGCCTGCCTGAGACATATGAACTACATTTGGTGGCGCAGGCAGTTGGAGATATCCACCCCTCTCCCCGCGCAATCGCAAACTCCAGACTTTTCAAGTAAAATTAGTCGGAAAGTGGGTAGGCTATGAGAGGGTGGTGTCGAAAGAGGAAACTCAGAGGATGGAGGATGTAATCAGCAAAGGCGTTGTGCATGGATCTAGCTGAAGCTGTGGAAAGATAAAAATTTTATTTCAATGAATGCAAGTTTGCTGAGAATATTCGGGAAGCTCCAACTCCTTCTCCGCACGAAGAAAAAATGTCGAAAGAAAAAATCTGGCGTATGATGGTAGGTAAAGGTGTGAAGAGGGCCGGGAGCGGGCAATCGGGAAGGAGTTAAGGAAGATATTATCGTACTACAATGCCGTTTCAGTGATTCCGATACTGAACCCTGGAAATCGTCTATCGCGTCATTAACGAATTACAACTTATTTACTTCGGCAAGGAATTGGATTCCAGAGACATCATTCGGAGAAGTATGTAAAGGGTTGGTGGAATTTCTACGGTAACCGACTCCGATCAAAAACCTAAATCGATTGTACGTTATGAACCAATAGCCTTCTGAATGAAATGCTGCACTTGATAAAAAATGTAAATCTTTGTCTCCCCCCAAATGAGTTCATCATTTCGCGAAGTATTACAAGTGTAAGAACTTTCGGTGATTTCGCGTAAAAATTGGCGTGTATTCTTGGAAACCCTCATCGGAACCGTATTTGAGATATTTCGTGGATTGGGAAGCAGTCAGAGTAATTTGAACGTCCTCCGAAAACATTCTATCGAATCCTCAACAGGCCTTTATCAGCTTTATCAGTTCCTCAAAGGGTAAGCTCGAAGGTGTTCAGTGAA